ATCTGGTCTTTACCACCAGACACCGAGGCATCTTTTGATGTGTTTATGGCAGGGCAGTGGGGTGGGATGGTAAGAATTGCTTTTCTGAGTACAGCTTTTCCCCTTTTTACCATCCCACCAAACCGCCAAGTGTAACATGACACTGCATGTATTTGAGTCAACACAGGTAAAATCATGGCTCGGTCCCCCACTCCGGGGTGTTTTGTCCACAGGGGTTGTCATCATATGAGTACTCTGTATACTACACAACTCATGACAACAGCTTCTTTTTCCACCATGCCTTACCAAAAATGCTATCCCACCAGTACATGTATATAACTGTGGTGTTTTTACTATGTGGCCTCCCTCTGGCCAACCATTCTTGAGGTATTTTGGGGTGCTGCAATTGGTAACAGCTTCTATCAAAAGACAGATTCCTCTTGACCAGGAAGACAGGCCGCCAAGCCCCTGCAACCTCACCTTGAAGGCGCAGACTGCCTGTGCAGGTGAGGGCCATTTGGGTAGAGAAACACAGAAGCACAAAAGCAGAGGGATTCAGAAGGGACCTCCTGGGGCAACCAGTCTGACCCCTGGCTCTAGCCAGCTCTGTTCATGATATGCTCCAGCCAGCTCTGTCCTGAATGGGGTTGCACTCCCTCTTAGGGACAAGGTCCACAGCCTGGGAGTGCTCCTTGACCCAGAGCTTTCATTGGAAGCTCAAGTGATAGTGGTGGTGAGGAGCACTTTCCTTCAGCTTTGGCTGATCCATCAGCTGCGTCCCTACCTGGAGAACGACTGCCTGGCAACAGTGACACATGCATTGGTCACTTCCCGATAAGACTTCTGTAACACGCTGTACGTGGGGCTGCCCTTGAAGATGGTCCGGATACTTCAATTGGTGCAAAATAGAGCTGCCAGGCTGTTGATGGGGACTGGGCATTGTTCTCATATAATCCCAGTCCTCCGTCAGCTCCACTGGCTCCCCCTTGAAGTCCGGGCCCAATTCAAGGTGCTGGTTATCACCTACAAAGCCCTGAATGGCTTAGGTCCTGATTACCTAAAGGAGCGCCTGCGTCCATTTATGCCCTCCCACCCCTTGAGATGGGGCGGCAGAGGCCCTTCTCCGGGAGCCCTCCGTGAAGGATATTAGAAGGGTGCGTACTCGGAGGAGGGCTTTCTCTGGGGTGGCGCCCAACCTATGGAATGCACTCCCCAGAGAGGTCTGCCTGGCGCCATCATTATTTGTTTTTTTGGCACCAGACCAAGACCTTT